TGGTGATGGCTGTGTTATATAGTATGGCTCATTTCTGGATGTCAATTTTTATTCTGCCAAAGGCTATCATAAAGACTATAGAGAGAATGTGTAGTGACTTCTTATGGGGAGTAGGTGAGGGTGCCAGGAAAAAAGCAGTGGTGGCTTGGTCTCGGATTACTTTCCCTAAATATGAAGGGGGGCTTGGACTTAAAGACTTGCATACTTGGAATCTTGCTTGTGTAGTTAGACATATCTGGCCTGTGTTGATTAGACAGGGATCATTATGGGTGGCTTGGCTATGGGAGTATCGAATCAAAGGAGGGAATTTCTGGACTCTTACCTCAAAAGCAGGGTCTTGGTTGTGGCAGAAGGTCTTGAAAATCAGAGACAAACTTAGGGGATTGATTTCTGTTGCTGGGGATGGTGTTTACTGGAAGGGGACTCTTATGGACAAATTATGTATAAGGAAGGTTTCTTGAGGAAATCCGCCCAAAGGTTTGGCTGTGCTTTCTGCACTTGCATTCTAGAAACTCGATCTCATCTTTTTGCTGTTTGTTCTTTGTTTAAGCAGCTGTTTGCAGCTTTGTTTGGTAAATTTGCAGTGAGAGTCCCTGGTGATCAATGGGAGGGTGAACTTCAGTGGGCCTTGACTACTTTCAAAGGCTCCACTGTCGTTGCACAAGCAAGGAAGCTGATTTGGCAGGCTCTGATAGCGTCAATATGGAGAGAACGATGCTTGGTTAAGTTCGCAGGGAAGCAACATGATTGTCATGCTCTAGTTCAGAGAGTTCAAGGAGATATTAGAGTAATGGTTGAGTCTTCAATTGTATGTTCATTCTTTTGAGTGATTAGATAGGTCTTTGAGTGTTTTAGGGCTTGTTTTCTCCCTACTGCTCAGCTGGCAGAGCTGTTGCCAGTGGTGTACTTGGTTCCTGTTTTTGATGAAATGAAATCCCAACCGCTTCATCAAAAAAAAAAATCATCGTCAGTAAATATAAACAAACTTACATGATTAGACATCTAGAAATAAATAAAGCTTGATAGTCCCAAATGAATTAGAATAAACTACTTTTCTTCCACCAGTGCTTTGAACATCTACAGCTTTTATGAACAACTCGCGGAGTTCATGTTAATGTAGAAATATCATACATGAGTTAGAAGGAAATATTTTTATTCCACCAGTTCATTCACGTGATCACAGGTGTAAGATATCTCATTATAACGGGAAGTTAATTACAAAATACGTTCTCCATTTGTTGTTCAAGAGGCTCCAAAGTGAACCTTGTGCATTCAAACTAAAAACGACATATTTGTACAACGGCAAGCTCTTGGCTAGCGAATAGCTTTACCAAACATAAAATTCTGGTAGTTCGATGGAAAATCAAGAATTTTAACTTCTCTATACCTTTGCATCCAATACTTATGAAGCAATGTTATTAATAAGTTGCTTCCATATTCTACCGGGAAAAAATCCCTACTACCATGGGTATAACTTTTTCAAAGTTGTACATTAATCGAAACAATAACGTGAGATATCTAAATTAATTTATTTAAACCAACTATAACCAAATTACAACCTTATTCTTCCTTTTATAAATTGAGTAAATTTAAAACACTGCCCTTGCAATCAGCTATAAGATAGAACCATCAACATATAGGATTCATTCGTGAAAACAAATATCTTATAAAAATTCTTTGAAACCATTATAATTGGATAAGATCATCCTAAATTTGTCAATACAATTCCCACTAACATGTGTGTGTTTATTTGTTTATAAGTGTGCTAAATTTTATTAATACTTTATTGTTTTTTTTATATATTATAGTTATTATTATATTAATCCCCTTGTTTTGTTACCACAAACCTCCCCTAGTACAAACGCGTGACATCAATCGCTTCCCTTCCATTATAGAAAACTTGGAAAACTATAAGCTTCATGAAGCTGGAAAGGAAATGAAGGTATTGGAAGACATGAGAGCGGATTGGTGAAAAGAATTATAGAACGATCGAAAACCTACTATATATGGTGTGTAATCTTAGATCTCCATTTACCTAATTCGACATAATCCATTTTTTATAGTCAATTAAGGTGGAGTGAAACCACGCAAGAACCCCAATCTTATTCCCATTATAGGCCACGTAGCAATTCCTTCCTCTACAAATGGATAGATGTCCATTGACACTTGGCCACATAACTTCCATTCCCTTGCATGTTGCCTCTGATACTTGGGCCGTGAGAAGACTGGAAGATATATAATAACATAATGTATCCCATTTTCAATCGAGATGCAATTCATAATTTCGATCCATTCCATTGCATGTTTCCTCTCTAGCAATTCAACCACTGCTTGCCTAGCCGCCAATCGGACCATCCGAGGAAAATGGTGAAGAAAGGAGGGAAGGAGTGAATAACAGGGTCACAGTCGCCGCTTTTCTATGAATTGGGGTATGCTTCTCATATATCCTCGGGGGAATCGAAGATGGAAGTAAAAGACTACTTGCCTAGTCGCCAACGGTCATCGGAGAGAAAGGTCAAAAATTCTTGGGATAGAAAAAGAGGATGTACATATGGTATACTAATGAAAGGCGTACCGGAGATGGGGATGTGAACCCAATTAATACACCCTCTTCTCTTATAGGAAGCTTTTTCCTTCAATCGCAGAATCAGCTAAAGGTAAGGTGAAAACAGGAGAGGAAGGGATGGGTGAAACTCGGCACCGGTGGAAATTCGGGCAGCCACCAATGGGTCTGTGCGTAGTCGTTCACGCTAGCTGAATTGAAATAGGTTAAAACTTTGGGTAATCACCAGTCCTATGACGTAGGGAAGACACGGGAGAAGGAAGAATATAACCTAGCACGGATAAAAAGGGTGCATAGATTCTTACGGTGGACCTGTGCGTAGCCCACCAGACCCCTTATACCAATTAATGCACCCTCTTCTCTTATAGGAAGCTTTTTCCTTCAATCGCAGAATCAGCTAAAGATAAGGTGAAAACAGGAGAGGAAGGGATGGATGAAACTCGGCACCGGTGGAAATTCGGGCAGCCACCAATGGGTCTGTGCGTAGTCGTTCACACTAGCTGAATTGAAATAGGTTAAAACTTTGGGTAATCACCAGTCCTATGACGTAGGGAAGACACGGGAGAAGGAAGAATATAACCTAGCACGGATAAAAAGGGTGCACAGATTCTTACGGTGGACCTGTGCGTAGCCCACCAGACCCCTTATACCAATTAGGCCCTATTTATACTATAATAATTTACAAGAGGGGTATGATACAAAGGGTCAGCGACACTCAACGTGGGAAGGCGATTGAGTTAGATTAGAGAGAGGTAGGATACGAATTCTCGGAAAAAATCCAAAACTACCACTGTTTTAAAAAAAATTTACAAAAATACCACCCTCACCAAATAATTTCCAAAAATACCATCGTTTATATAAAACCGCGCCTCTGATGAGCGTTTTTTAATGAAACCGCAGCCTAGAGGCGCGATTTCATCACAAAACGCTTCAAGGAGCGGTTTGACCTTGCATGGCTATCAAACCGCGTGTCCACATGGCAGTTCATCAAACCGCTCGATGGGAGAGCGATCTAATGGCCAAAACGTGTGCCAGCTCGGCGATCCGCGTCGGCCAAGTAAACCGCGTCCCCGAGGCGCGGTTTGACTGTTCGGGAAAAGCAAACCGCGTCCTCGAGGCGCGGTTGACTGTTCGGGAGAAGCAATCCGCGTCTCCGAGGCGCGGTTTTCGTTGGAGAAAATTGACGAAATGGCCCTCGGGGACGCGGTTTGTACCCTATATAAACCCCCTCCCCCCTTCACTTTTCTGCACACCAACCTCATTCCCCCCTCTCTCTCTCTAACTTCTCCCTGTCCACTCCCCTCCCCACCGAAAAACCTTAGAAACGTTTTTTTGTTGGTTGCGGCCTAAGTCCGATCTGCCTCCAAAAAACTTTTCTTTGGTTTTCACTAAAAAACCGTCGAACCTCTGTCCGGATTCCAAGAGAATGGCCGATTTCGCTCAAGAAGAGGGCCTTTTTTTTATGATTATCAAACGATACATACTCATTTTTCCCAATTGTTGTTGTTGTTATAATGATTTATTTAATTTATATACTAATGATTTGTGTTATTGTTATGCTATCGTAGGTTGGGCCGGATGTTGATATTTTCAATCAACGATATTATGTTGAGCAAGGACCGATTGATCCGACAGTTTTATACGATCAAGCAATTCATCGTTCAAGAGACGTTTGGAACGACCACAAGCTACATATTATTTATCATCACTTGTAATTTGTATTTTGTTAAAGTAATTTATTTGTTTGTACAATAATTTACTTAATTGTTACTCGTATTGATTATTTTCAATAATTTAAATCAATACAATACAACACTTATTTAGACTCTTTATAAAGAAATGCATGTCTAAGGAAATGGGGACTTAAGCGATCATCATGATCCCCCCATGACCTGGGAAAATCGGGTTCTAAGCGATCCTCGGGTCTCCCTTTTTTCTGTCAAAAAGACTGTGTTTCTAAGGAGATGTATACCTCTCCTAAGAGTCTTACAAGTGTACTTGTATTGCTTTAAATTATTGAAAATAATCAATACGATTAACAAAATAATATATTTGGATATTATTTTAGTTATGTTAATATTAATGTTTATTAGATAATGAATATTTCTATAAAATCGCTTGATTGAATTAATATTGCATATTAGAAAATTATTTTAGTTATGTTAAAATTAATGTTTATTAGATAATGTATATTTCTCTATAACAACCTTGATTTATATATAAATTGTATCTTATAATATATTTATATATGTATAAATCATCAACTTATAGTGAAATTTAAATTCTTCTCTAGGATGCATACCACATAGTCCGCTATAGGGGCACAACGAATGTGCTTGAATGGAACGACGTCATCTTGCCCTTTCTAAAAAGGGCAAGATTGGATTCGATTAGGCATTTCAATGGAATTAAGATCGACCGCCAACTCATCACGGCGATGGTAGAGAGATGGCGAAAGGAGACACACTGCTTCAATTTTCGTGAAGGCGAGTGCACCATCACACTTAAGGACATCGCCATCCTAACCGATCTCCCCATTGATGGTGATGTTGTTTGTGTGGACTCTACGGCACCACCTAAAGTTGTTGCCAATATGAGTGGTTAGCAACATTTTATATGGACGGTCACCGGGTTGTGTCCGCTAGAAAAGGGAGATCACGATGCGGATGGTAATCCACCATTGTCCAAGGGTCAAGTATCCATCACGTGGTTGACAGCGGAGATTAGGCGTAAGCACAACCCGGAGTTCGGAGGCATTCCCCTCACGGAGGAAAGTTCGGAGCGCGATAAAGACATTTATGTACGTATCTACATCCTCGGCATGATCGGAGGAGTTTTCTTCCCCAAGAAATCCAACAACCTAATCAGCAATTCATGGTTGAAGATCATACTTGGTAGTTGGGATGATATGGGAAACTTGAGCTGGGCATCTGCTTGCCTAGCCCACATCTACCGATCCCTATGTAATGCTAGTGCGAGAGCGGTGAAGGAGATTGATGGGGCAATGTTCATCTTCCAATTTTGGGCTTGGGAGCATTTGCCATGGATTGCGCCGAAGGTAGACCCCGACAAGGAATGGGGACCCGACCATCCCCTACGACATGAAGCTTATGGTTGTAGGTAAATATCTTCTATCCCACTCATAGTTCTCACATTTTTTTTACTAATTTAGTTTTTTGTAACGAAATTTTTTGAAGGTACTAACATTGTGTACTTTTCCATATTAATAGGTGGCTTGGTGAAACAACATGCGACAACCTAGGAGCGCATAAGCTAGAGGAGTATCGTAGGAGGCTTGATCACCTATGGGAAGCAGAGGTGAGCATCATAATACGCTATTAAAACCCTACTTTTTTAACTTATATTATTATGTTGATTAATGGTTTTATTATTTAAACCTTCGTAGCTTAAGTTCGATCCGTATCCAGAACGGATTGTTGCGCATCACGTCCACAAGTTCCCGTTACATCCCGGTCAATGGTGCACTCGAGTTCCACTAATCTGCCACCACATAGTGGAGTGGCACTTGCCGGATCGATGTCTACGACAATTTGGACGTGAGCAATGCATACCATTGGATGTCCCGGAGAGTCAGAAGGGGTACCACGGGAAAGATGGTCGACAAGGACCTACTAATTGGCCGGAGGAGTATAAGCCGTTGATCCGGTTGTGGAATGTTAGGCAAGGTCAGGATATTGTGACGGCATCTCATGTGGGGCGGATGGGCTACCATGACCCATACCTGGAAACCTACCGAAGACAATCTGTTCGTTACATGACCCCCGAAGGAGCGGCGGACGGAGCTTTGGTAAGAAACTTTTTTTTTTTAGTCATGCGGTGCATTATTTTTTAAATGGCTAACTTTGTTATTTTGTTCGATATAGGTTGATGGCATCGAGCGAATCCACGACCTCGCGCGGACCGCAGATCATTCGGCGGCGGGTCGAGAGGTGGGGATGATTCGAAGGATAGCGAACAATCTCCTTGGCTGTATGCGAGCGCGCGGACGTGACCATAGGCGATACCCTCCAGTTCCCCCAGTGAGACCGCCGCCGGTGATGCTTGATGTTGACCCGGTGCCTCCGCCGGTCCATAGAAGGCAAAACAAAGCTATGAGGGATCGACCTCACGTGCCGGAGATCAAACCGATTGAGGCGTGGAAGGCGCCTACTCCTTTGGAGGTGTGCAGCGGTGAAGGGGGGAGTACTCAGTACGATCCCACGCCCGGAAGCCAGTATGATCCGCGGTCAAGTTTCCAGTACAATCTCCGGCCTAGTTTCCAGTATGAACAACGGCCAAGTACATTTCATGACGGCACATCTTCAGCTACTTGGGCCGAGGGTTCATACTCAAGTCCCCACCAAGACTTCTCACCTTTGCAGCGACCACAACAACAATGGCAACAACAACAATTACAACAACAATGGCAATCCACTCCCCACCGTATGAGCATGGATAGCCCTCGACCGCAGACGGAGGGGCCACCTATCACGGAACCGAGGCGGCATAGCACGGAGGATCGCCCTTCTACGGCGAATAGGAATCTGCCACCCGTTCCACCATCATCTACACCCGGTGGACCAGTCGCCCATCGCACAAGGAAGCAGAGGGCAAACCGTCGAAACAATGCTTGAGTGTTTTTATTTCAAGTTATGGTTTGTTTAAATTAAGTTGAACAATGGTGGTTTTATTTCAAGTTATGTTTTGTTTAAATTAAGTTGAATAATGGTGTTTTTAGGTGAAGTTATGGTACAAGTTAACTTAAGTTGAACAATGTAGTGTGTTTGTGTTCGTGATGTGTTTTATTCAAAAAGATGGAAAAATTGCACCAAAGTTTGTTAATTGTGCAAATCTCCAATGTCATTTAAGCAAACAACATACAAGTAGAGTAACCATTGAAATTGATACACAAAGATGGAACACACGCATGAAATCAATCTAAGCGCCATTATCCGGGTTCACCACATCGGGCCCTGCATTTTGAGGACCAATTGGTCCGGGACATTTTCGTTTATCATGACCGGGTACTTTGCATATGGAACACCGCCTTGGCCCTCGCGGGGGTCTTCCACTTTGATCCATTTCATTTGGAATCCTTTTTCTTCGCGGGCGCCCTGTTTCCCGCCTAAGACCGATTGGTGGAATGATGACCATACCCTCATAAACTGGCCAGTAAGCTTCATCCGGCAATGCACGGAAACTAGTACGATAACTGCTCTTTTGTGAGTCAATGTTGAAGAACGGACTAACGAAATGACGAGGGTCTTTGCTCCTATGCTTTATTGCAGCCATTGCATGAGAACATGGTATCCCTCTACCCTGATACTTCTGACAAGAGCACTCCCCCTTTTTAGTCCTAAAGTTTACGGTGACTTCATGGCGATGACCACCACGTCTCCCATCCTCCCAGTGCCCAGTCTCGACCGAATACTCGCCAGCATGTCGGTTCATCACAGTGACTGTGTGACAAGAGCTCTTCCGATTATCTTTTTCCATTATTTTCAATACATAATTGGAGTGTACCTTACCATGTGCCTCCCTCTTCTCACACCAGTGGAGACGGTTGACGAACCATCTGTTTGTTTTCCAGAATGTCATCTCAACAATTGCAGAGATGGGGAGTGCACGACATTCTCTGTAGACGTTGTTGATACTCTCTCTTGAGTTTGTTGTGGCAATACCCCATCTGTGACCTCCGTCCTTATGAAAAGTCCACATTTCAAGGTCATGTTGATCAAGCCACTGCGCACCTTCGGGACATATTTGACGGATATTCTGCATCTTCTCTTTAAATTTCTTCTCTTGGTACGCGACAGCTGATGAATATAAAAAAAAAACGTAAAATAAGCAAGATCGACCTTATTGCCAATACAAGTACACTCGTAAGACTCTTAGGAGAGGTATACATCTCCTTAGAAACACAGTCTTTTTGACAGAAAAAGGGGGGATCCGAGGATCGCTTAGAACCCAATTTTCCCAGGTCATGGGGGGATCATGATGATCGCTTAAGTCCCCATTTCCTTAGACATGCATTTCTTTATAAAGAGTCTATAAGTGTTGTATTGTAACCATACACTCAATACTTTTATACAGTTTTAAAAATTTACAGATAGACAATTAATTAGAACGCTTACCAATCCACCATAGACTGTCAGCAAGCTTCTTTCGCTTGAAATGATGGTTCCAGTTGCTCTTGAAATGCCGGATGCACCATCTCTGTGACCAGTTCCAGGCTGGATCCAAGCCTAAAATAGCACATCTTCTACCGGCGTGGCGATCTGAGATGATAGTCAGGTTCGTCCATCTGGTGACATGGAGCTGAATTTGTCTGAAGAACCATCCATAGCTATCGGTATTCTCTCCCTCCACAATGGCAAAGGCTAATGGATATACTAATCTATTTGCATCTGCTCCGCTGGCAATCAGTAGAGTACCCTTGTACTTGCCGGTAAGGAATGTTCCATCAACTTGAATCACAGGAACACAGTATGGAAAACCATCAATACATGGCTTGAAGGCCCAGAAAAGACGCTTGAATTGGCGATTGTTACCAGCCACCGGGGATTGAATTTCTTCATCTTGGTAGCGAGGCGAGAAAATGGTTCCAGGGTTAGACACCTCCAACGCCAAAATCAGTTTGGGAAGGAATGCATATGATTCTTCCCAGTCACCAAACACGGCAGCCATTGCTTTCTGTTTCCCATGCCACGCTTTCTTGTAGTTAATGATATAACCATAACGACTAGAAATGTGGGCGATGATGGTTTTCACCTTCAGGTCGGGCTGCTCCTCAATTAGATGTTTGATAGCCGCGGCAACCACCCTTGATTTCAACTGTCGATGGCCTTGGGATGTTATTGATGACACACATGTGTGTGTGTTCACCGCACGGGATATGACCCAATGACCGACTCTCTTGCTCTTGATGGCCCGGACCTAGCTGTGCATCCCTCATTGTAGTTTCTGCATCGAACCATCAGCCTCTTTGTGTCGGAATGGGTTGTCTGCCATTCAAAACTCCGAGTCATTGCTTCAGTGGAAATAGCGTGTCGAACCTCATTCTTCGTTGCAAATTGTTGGCCCTTCGTAAAGCCAGTTAGTGGACCCCATAATGGCACATCTGGCGGGTCCATGTCGGCATCAACATACCAATCTTCACTTTGAATGTGATTGTAGTATGGAATAGGTACACGGTCGTGAGGTACCTCATCACCATCTGCGTCTGAATCTGGACCGGAATCATCAGCACCTTCCAGCGGATCGTAGCTGTCTGCACTAACTTTGCCTTCCTCTTCTTCAACCTCAGGGTCACTAACTGGACTTGGATTGACCTCTTCTTCCATCTGATTATCAGCATGAAAGGCACCTTGACCTTCACTAGCTCCGTAATGGTAGTTGTGGTAACTAACACCGCTTTGATAGAAGTTGTACTCGGGTGGGTACTGGTAGCCTGCTTGTTCGTTGTAATCCGCCTGTTGAGCTTCTTCTTCATATGAAGGGAAGGATTGATGACTTCCTCCAGTTCCATGATGATACTCCTGACTCCAACTCGAGTCTTGGAAATCCTGGTGGGGATGATCTTCGTAGAATACACTCCCACCGTGG